ATCTAAAACTGGGTTAGCAAAAGGCCACGTAGCTAAGAACAGCTCCGTGCTCCACATGCTGCCACGGCAGCGGCTGGGCTCCCGCCCGGCCAAAGAGCCCTTGAGCCACAAGGGAAGCCAGAGACTCCGCGGGAAAGAGAAAAGGAGCCGTTGCGTTTTTATGGCTCTGGAAAGCGGCCGCCATTTTGCGTGTCGAGCGACAGGAGGGTTGTGGAGAGGAAATGTGGCCAGGAGGATAACTTGAAACTCGGGAGCTCAGCAAATACCCAGAGGGAGCGAAGAGAATTCAGCTGCAGTGGAGAAGACAGGAGGGTGAACTTGGGCCCGAGCACTTCAGAGTTAGCTCTGGGTTAGGCCTTTGGGAAGTGGGCCTTCGGGTTGGCTCCACTGGGGGACCTTCTGAGGCCAGGGGGGTCCGCTGGCTCCTAGGAGAGGCTCCCTGGGCTGGCCTCCGCTCCCCCCACCCCCGGCTGCCCCTTGTCCTGGGTGTCCCCCCTTTGCCGCCTTGGCCCCAGAGAGTCCCCTCTGTCTGGCCAGGTGGCTCTGAGGGCAGGAAGGGCGGCCTGAGCAGGTCTCGGAGCAGAGCTGGCAGCTGGACCCGCTTGGTCTCCTGTGATCCCAGGAGCCGCACTAGAAGCCCGTTTTTGCCTTTCTTCCTTCCTCCAAAGGACGAATTCCAGAGCTGGTTCTGCGCCAGGGTCCGGAGGGTCTTCTCCCTGGGCCGCCACCCCTTACAGGCCCCCAAAGAGCTGGCCTCGGAGAAGGTGGCCAACGGCTCCAGCGCTCCCCTGTGCGTCCCTCCCTTGGAAGAGAGCGGCGGGGGCGGCAGCATCAGCAGCAGCGCCTTGGACGGCCTCTCCCAGGACCCACAGCTCCTCCAGGTAGCCAGCACGGCCGGAGCGGCCTGGTGAGGCCCCGTGGCCCAAGGGAAGCTTCTGGAAGGCTTCCTCTGTGGGAAACGGGGAGAAAAGTGAAGGGGCGCTCGGCTCTCCTGCGGGTAAAGTGACCCAGAGGAGGCGGGCGGGCGTGGGTGGAGGCGTAAGGCCACCGCCAATCCTCCGTCTGCCTGGCTGAGTCTCCCCTGAAGCGGCCACCCGGCCTGTGTTTCTTGCCTTCCAGCTGCGCTATTTCACCCACCACAGTGTGAAGTATTTCTGGGACGACGCGCTCCAGAACTTCACTTCCATAAAGTAAGAGACGGACCGGGGGTGGGTGGGCGGGGGAGAGAGAGAGATGGATGCCCTGGCGGGACGAGGGCTTCTCCTGACTGGCCCACCTGGGCTGGCCTTTCCCACAACCCTCCTCTCTCGTTCCTGCAGGGGTTTGGATGACTCCACGACCTGCGCTTCCATCCACCGGGAACACAGCACGGGGCTGACGAAGGAGATGCAGGACTACAGGTGAGCCCCTGCAAGGAAGACGGGGTTCGGGGGAGGGCTCCCCCTCCGCACCAGCTGCTGCTTCCCTGCCCCCCTCTCCCCCCTCGGCTTCCACGTCCACCTGGCCATCCGGAGACCCCTGGCCTCCCTGCTCCGCCCTCCTCCTCATCCGCCAGCTGTTCCTCCTCCTGGCTGGCCCTCAGTGCTGGGTGGCTGTTGGGTAGCAGCTGACGGCTAAATTTGTACACTTTCCTCTTTTTTTTCCTCTCTTTTGGATGCAGGAAGATCTTCTATGGACTGAATGAAATCGCGGTCAAAGTGCCTTCCATTTTTAAACTCTTGATTAAAGAGGTGAGCCTTTTGCTGTGGAAGGAGGGGTGGGAACGGCTATTCTTGGCTGTCTGAGGCTTGAGAAAGAGTTACGGGGGGAGGGGAGAGACTAGCAATCTCCCAGAACTCCCCCCCCCCCCCAAATCGCAGGCTGTTCCCTATGTGGGTTTCTGTGAGAATCAATTGACTATCTCATAAAGCGGACAGGCAGGGTTGGGTTGGGTTGTGCACAAGGACACTCCAAAATCTGTGCTGGGGCATCTTTTCCTGGGCCGGCCTGTTTTTTACCTGCTACGTCATCTAAAAATGTTCTTGCTCACTAAGCAGAACCTGGTTGTTCCGCTTCCAGGGTCCTGGGGTAGGGAGAGGCCAGACAAGGACAGCAGGGTTGGGGGGGCAGGGCTGGGCCCTCACCTCGAGGGAGCTCTTTCTTTGCGGGTTGTGTCACGCGGGAGTGCCCAACCGTTAAGGCCTCCGGACATCAGCTCCCAGGATTCCCCAGCCGGCTCTGTTGGCCGGAGAATTCTGGGAGTGGAAGTCCACAACTCTTAAAAGTTGCCAAGATTGGACAGCCCTGCTATAAGGACAAGAAGTGCCCAGCCTTGGCCACTTGGAAGAAGGGTGGACTTCGGCTCCCAGGATTCCCCAGCCAGCACGAATCACTGCTGCAGTGCCTAGTTTCTTTTTGCTTTTATTGAATGAATTAAAACAAAAACAAAAGAGAAGGAAAAACAACTATAAAAAAAAGGAAATTAAATTAAAAATCAAAACCAGGATATATATGCACAAGGGCATTTCAGGGAAGGTTGTCTGCCTTTCCTTACAATCATCTATAGCTAATCTATTTCAATAACTGGTTCAGTCCTAAATTGCTAATACCATCAATACTGCAAGCTATTGACTGGCTGAGGCCCTGCATGTATCTTTCCCGTGCTGGAGAATATTTAGGTAGGACATGCAGAATCCAATTTCTTTGTCCAGATGCCGGTTTTCACACAATAAGAACGTAGCTCAAAAGGATCTAATATTAAACCTTGTCTCAAATCTTTTGGGGCCCAGAGCATTAAAGTGAAACCTTAATCTCACTGCGCCTTCAGCATGTTGTGAACCAGCTAGAGGCGCCCTTAGATTCAGGCAGCGCTTGGGGTTTAATTAAATGGCTCCTTCCCTCCAGCCTTTTCTACGTAACCACAGTGGATTCCAGTAAGTCTGAAATATATAGAGGGGCCCCAAGAGGAGTTTCCACTAAGGAGAGTCAGCCACAATTTGGTGCTATAAGAGATGCAGGCCTAATTCAAGATGTGGAAAACCAAATTCTCCCCTCTAACGGACATCTGCAAGTATTTAAAAGAGAGTCTCCACAGCCGTTTGTGAAATGTTGGAGTAAATGTGAGAAAATACGTTGTAGATATCTCTGTGTGTGTGTGTGTGTTTTGAATTCCATGCTGGGTCTATACTATTATATGTTTATTTTAAGAATATTAACCTTACTCCAAAGGTTAATTTTTAAAACTGCCCTCTATCGTAATTCAGTCAGTTCTCCTTAGGCATGTGATTCACGCTGCAAAATTTCACTCAGCGTAAGAAGTGCAAGAAGTAAGTGTATGGTAGAAGGGATTTTTACCTGCTGGTGTCAGGTGCCCCAGGAGACGGGATATCCTGCACCCGCCCCCCCCCCAACTCACTTTGCTTATTGGGGGGGAAGACAAGTAATGGGTGCATTTGGTGTATCACGCATCCCTGCACTGTGGATGGGCCGTTTGACCCGACCGTTTCAATCATGGAGAATTCCCTGTCACCTGTCCCCCGACTCCTGTGACTTGTAATAAAACCAGCCTGACCAATGAAGGCAGCCTCTTATGCCCTCTGCTTGCGACAAGGCCAGCCTCTCACGTCCATCTAAAGGGGGAAGCCAGTGGCACCTCCCTCCCTCCCCCCCCCCCCCCCCCTTTCCCTCCCCCCTCCCTCCTTCCTGCCTTCCTTCCTCCCTTCCTTCCTTCCTTCCTTCCTTCCTTCCTCCCTCCCTCCCTCCCTCCCTCCCTTCCTTCCTTCCTTCCTTCCTTCCCAGTTATGTGTCCCAGGAGACCAAACGCTGCTCTGGGTTGGCCTCAGCAGAGGCTGCTCTGCCCCAAGGTGGAGCTTGACCTTGGGGTGGAACGGGGCTCAGCTCCAGCCTTCGAAAAGCGGAGGAGCCTCCCGGTGGTGCCTTCTTTCTAAGCTGATGTCTCATGCCAGCCAGTGGGGGGGGGGGGGGTGGCTTTTCCCCAAAGAGGTTGGGGCTGGTCCTCCAGGGCAGGACTGGGAGCTGAGCAGAGCCGCCGCCGTGGGGCTCCCCTGGGCTCCCCTGCGTGCCGAGCCTCCGTTCCCTGTCCTCTCTGGCAGATCAGGAGGGCCCTGAAGGTTAACCGTGAGTAGGGAATCCCGCCTTTGGACAACCAGGGGAAGGAAGGAGGAGGGGGCGTAACCTAACGCTGGTTTTTGTTTTTCTCTCTTCCCCCCCCCAGGTCCTCAATCCGTTCTACATTTTCCAGCTCTTCAGTGTGATCCTCTGGTGCACGGATGAATATTACTACTATGCAATCGCCATCGTCATCATGTCTCTGATCTCCATCGCCAGCTCTCTGTACAACATCCGGAAGGTGGGGGCTTGCGGGGGGGGCGAAAAGCCCTGCGGGGGGCAGGCGGGCAGGCTTGGATCCTTCTTCCACGGCGGCTGTGCATGCTCAGCTGGCTGGGGCTGGTGCGAGGGGCCAGGCGTGGGTTGCTTTTAACTGATGGAGTGAGTTGCTCGGTCAGCTTAGGACACGGGAGCGAACACTGGACACGAGTGAAGGGGTTGTGTTAGGGGGCAGACGGAGCCCTTGTGTTCCCAGCGCGTTGGGTTGTCCTGCCCTAAACTCTGGCTTGGATGGGGTCCGTCCTTGGCCTTCCTTGGATGGCCCGAGGGAGGTCCCAGGCCCCGCCGTCATCCGGCCACCTGCTCTGGGCTGACCAGATACATTTCAGAGGCGATAACTGTGGTGCTTAAACACTTTATGAACCATCTTGAATGTTCAACATTTCTGCATAAATGAGTCAGAAACAAATAGGTTTAGATCTGGATCGCTTTCCTCAATGAATAGATTAACAAGTGGAATATTTTTGACTTACTGGATTCGCTTGATCTGGTTTCCGGACTTGTGTGGAGAAGAGAGCGCAGGTCTTATTCAGGCAGAAAGGATGAAAATTCAGAAGGGTTCCCAGGCCTTTCAGCACCACTTCAGCTCTGGAGGCGGCTGTGACTTGTGTGGGTCAGCCCCGTTAGCTGCCTCGGCAGAGAATCGGGCAGAAGGACCATGCTGGACCCCTGGGGGCCTTCAGGATGCGGGAGCCTGGAGCGCTTCGCTCACAACAACCCATCAAACAAATCGCCATAAGGTCAAGAAGCGGTTAAGGAGAAAGATGGTGAACAGGACAAAGCGAAAAGCTCTGGCAAAGGCCCTGAGCCAATTCCTCACCCCTCTTCTGAACCAAGCGGGGTGGGGGGGGGGGGGGGGCATTGAGGGGAGCCCCATTCCGGGGGATGGGCACTGCTGTAGAGAATTAATTAAATACTGGTTTCAGAGTGTCTCCTCTAATGCCCCCTCCCCATTTGTCTGGTGCCCCAAGACATTGCCTGGGGTCTTGGAACTGGTGCCGCATCCTGTTGGGGGGCGGCAGGTGTGGCCTCTCGAGCGAAGCCCAAGGGAGCGTTTTATTCTCCGGGGGGGGGGGGGGGGGCGTCCTTTGAAAGGCAGGCCAGGATTCCGGTTTCCAGGGGCTCCTCAGTTCACCCCTGAATTTGGGTTTCGGGAGCAAAGTTGTTTGGTCCGTCAGCTGCTTTGGCCGTTCCTGGAGGCCCCGGCCGGCTGGACCAGGGGATGTGGGGCTGCTCTGCTCTGGCCGGACAGAACCCCTCCTGGGCAGGCGGGCTGGACCCTCAGGAAGCTGGGGGCCAGGTCACAAAGAGCGCAGGGCACCCCAGGAAAGGCCTCCCAGCTCTGCGGGCCTCGCCTGCCTCCGAGGGGCCTGTGGCTCCAAGAGGGGGCGATGCCACCCAGAGCAGGCCGGCTGGCTGGGGGGAACTGCTCCCCCTTTGAGGTCTGGGGTGGCTGGGGTGGCTCGGTCAGGCCTGGGGGGTCTGGCTAGCAACGTTTCCCTCTCCTCCCTTCAGCAATACACGATGCTGCACGACATGGTGGCAGCTCACAGCATCATCCGGGTCTCCATCAGCAGAGCCAGCCATGGTAGGATGGGACGGGGCAGCTTAGCTGGCAGGGAGAGTGAGGGCGAGGGGGGCATCTTTGGGGGCTCCTGCTTAAGCTCCTCCTGAGGTGCAAGTTGCTGGGTGGGGGGTGAGGGGGCTCCCCAAAGCAGCAGCTGGACGCTTCAGAGCTGGGGCTGGTCTCGGGGCACAGGGCCGGTCCTTGGCTCCTTGCGGGCAAGCGTGTGCTGCGTTGGCTTCTCCCTCGAGGGACGGTGGCCCTTCCGGGCTGGGGGTCCCTCTGCCAGCCTCAGGCCCCTCCCGGAGCCTTTGCCATTTTCAACCCTCTCGTGCCCTTCAGGTGTGGAGGAGGTTCTGTCCACGGACCTGGTGCCCGGGGACGTCATTGTGGTCCCGCTTCGGGGGATGATCATGCCCTGCGACGCGGTGCTTCTCAGCGGCACCTGCATTGTCAACGAAAGCATGTTGACGGGTGAGTCGGAGGGGCGCTTGCCCCGTGCCGGGAGCCGGGCCCCAGTGCCGCGGGGGCCTGGGCAGTGAGCCAGCTCCTCCTTCCCTCCTCAGGGGAGAGCGTCCCCGTCACCAAGACCAACCTGCCCAACCCGTCCAAGGACTGCCAGGCCCTGGAAGAGGAGGTCTACGACCCAGATGGGCACCGCAGGCACACCCTCTTCTGTGGCACGACCGTCATCCAGACCCGCTTCTACACTGGGGAGCTGGTCAAGGCCGTGGTGGTCAGAACAGGTAGGCCAGCGCTGGGCGGGAAGGAGGGCCCGGCCCGGCCCCCCCATGATTCAGGGGCGTCTTTGGGGAGGCTGCTTCCCCCCTGTCTCTTCCCCACCCTTGCAGCCGCAGTACACAGAACGGAGCTGGGAGGGTCCTCGGGGGCCTCCTAGTCCAGCCCGCTGCTGAAGCGGGAGACCCTCAAACCCCCCCCCAGACAAGGGGCCGCCGGGCCTCTTCTTCAAAGCCTCCAGGGACGGAGCAGCCACGACTTCTGGAGGGGAGCCCTGGCGGATGGGCCTCCTCCTCCTCCTCCTCCTCCCTGTTAGGAAGCTTCCCCTTCGTTCCCACCCGTTGCTCCTTCTCCTGCCTTCGGGGGCTTCTTTGGAGAAGAAGTTGCCCCCCCCCCCCGCCCTTCTCTGGGGCAGCCCCTCAAACAATCGAACGCTGCTGTCCCGCCGCTCCTAGTCCTTCTGGCCACTCCCAGCAAAGCCCAGATGCTGCAGCTGTTCCTCATGTTTTAGCCTCCAGGCCTTCAACTGTCTCAGTTGGTCCCCTTTTCCCAGAGTCTCAGTGTGTGTGGTTTTTTTTTGTCCTGTGACCAAAGCCGGATGCAGCATTCCAGCCCCGGCTTGGTTTCATTAAGGCTTTATAAAGGGGTGCTAATTAATACTTCACCTGGTTTTGATCCTGTGCCTCTGCTTACGGCAGCCACGGATTGCGTTGGCTTCTTTGGCGGCGGCTGCCCACGGCTGGCTCACGCTTCAGGGGTCGTCCCCTGGGGCTCCAAGGTCCCTCGCACGGTTCCCGTTTCTGAGCCAGGTGTCGCCCGGCCTGTCCTTGTCCCCTTGGCTTTCCCTGCCCAGGTGTGTGTGTGTGTGTGTGAGAGAGAGAGAGAGAGAGGCCTTGCTTTCCTCCACGCGGGATTTCATTTTGTTGGATGGTCTGTCAAGATCTTTTGGGGCCCCGAGCTTGTCTACTGGGCTCTTGGCGGCTGCTCCCGGCCTGTGCCAGGATGTCCAGCTCCCTCGGTCCCCGTCCGCGGCTTCACCCACAGCAAGGCTCCCTTGAGGGGCTGCCTCTTTGGGGCCAGGACCTTCTCTGCCACAGACTTGCATGCGGCCAGGGGTCCTCATGGGGGGCTTTTTCACCCCAGAAGATGAGGCCCAATCCCTCCTCTCCCCAGGACTCTTCCCCCCCCCCCCCCCCGCCCTGGGTCACCGGCTTCACCTGCCCGCCTGGGGCTCTGGCTCTTCTATAGGTGGGCAGCAGCCTCCAGGCCCCCTGGCAGCTTTCTGACGCCCCCCCCTCCGCCCCCCTCTGTTCTTTGGGGATCCTGCAGGCTTCAGCACTTCGAAGGGGCAGCTGGTGCGCTCCATCCTGTACCCAAAGCCCACCGACTTCCAGCTCTACCGCGAGGCCTACCTCTTCCTGCTCTGCCTGGTGGGCGTGGCGGGCATCGGCTTCCTCTACACCATTGTCATCAGCATCCTCCACCAGGTGGGTGGCCGGGGGCTGCCCTTACGTGGGTGGCGCCTCCTGGGCCAGGCCTCCGAGAGGGCTGGGGGGGCCGGCCGGGGCACCGGCCCTGCTCCGGCAGGGAGGTCGATGCCCATCCCATCCCATCCCCCCCCCGCTTCCAGGTCCCCGCCCGCATCATCATCATCGAGTCCCTGGACATCATCACCATCACGGTGCCCCCGGCTCTCCCAGCCGCCATGACGGCCGGCATTGTCTACGCGCAGCGGCGGCTGAAGAAGATCGGCATCTTCTGCATCAGCCCCCAGAGGATCAACATCTGCGGGCAGCTGAACCTCGTCTGCTTCGACAAGGTCCAGCCTCCCTCCGGCCTCCCTCCGGCCCCTCCCCTGGGCTGCTGGGGGGGGGGGGGGCTGCCCCCCGCCTGTCTCTTGCTGGCCCCCGGGCCCCTGCCCGAGGGAAGGGGGGGGGGGCCGGGGGGCAGGACCCGACACCGGTCCCCCCCCCCCCCCCCCCCCCCGCCCCCCCCCCCGGGTGGGGGGGTGCTGCCGCTAGCATTTTCCCAGGTGACAGGCAGGCCTTGAGTTACGCTCCTAAGGGAGCCCAGGAATACAGCCCTAAGTCTTGGTGGCCATTAAGTGGGTGCCCGGTTATGCCCCTCCTTTGTGGCGGTTGGTAAGTGAACCGTCCTCGTTAGATGGATCTAGGGCATCATTTTCTGCCAGAAACTGGAAGGAAAGGGGGGTTTCCAACCCAAGAGACGCTGGAAATTGTGGTGGGGGGTCTGCCTGCAGGCCTGTTGCTAAGCGCCCAGAGTCCTGGTGTCACGTGACCGAAGTGGGGTAGCGGGGAAGGGGGTTGGACCTTGGAAGCCCTCATCACTTGGAGGAGGGGAGCAGAGGGGGGCCGGGGGGGAGAGCAGGCGCCAGCACGGCCTTCCCAGCTGGGGCTTCTCTCCTCTTCCAGGGCTGCAGTTGCAACCCTGCCTCTTAGGGAGACCCGGGAGGGAGGGAGGGAGGGAGAAGCCGGCTCCTCTCCATCCCCGCGTGGGCTGGAGTTTCCTGGCCTGGAGGCGGATTGTTTGGGGACGGCCTCCGTGGCTCTTCCCTGGGCCTGGCTTGCCTCGGGCCTTCCTGGCTGTGGCCCCCAGAGGCTGCCAAGCGGCTGGTGAAGCCAGGGGGCAGCCCCATGGCCTCCACTCCGGCCTAAAGCGCCCTTTTCCCTTCCCCCTAGACCGGGACCCTGACGGAGGACGGCCTGGACCTCTGGGGCATCCAAAGGGTGGAAAGTGCCCGGTGAGTCAGAGGAGAGCCCAACTTCCTTGGGGGCGGGGGGCGGGGGGGGCTGCTGCTCCTCAGCCCAACCTGGCCAGGGCGTGGGGCAGGCCGGGCGGCCCCCTCTTGCGGGTGCTGGGGAGACGCCTGCCAGGGCTCAGCCTCCCCCCCCTCCCTGCTCCCCCCAGCTTCCAGCTGCCCGAGGAGAGCGCCTGCACGGAGGCCCTGGTGCGGTCGCCCTTCGTGGCCTGCATGGCCACGTGCCATTCCCTCACCAAGATTGAGGGGCTGCTGTCCGGAGACCCGCTGGACCTGAAGATGTTTGAAGCCACCGGATGGGTGAGGTCCCTCCCCGCCAGGAGGAGAAGGGGCTGCCGGGGGAGGGGGCGGTTTCCCCCACGGCTTGGGCTCTCCGGGGTCGGTGCTGATGGACCCCTCGGTGGCGGGGGGTGTCTCCCTTCAGGTGCTGGAAGAGGCCACAGAGGAGGAGACGGCCCTTCACAACCGGATTATGCCCACGGTTGTCCGGCCGGCTAAGCAGCTTCTTCCGGACTTCAACTCTGGGAACAACAAGGAAATGGTGGGTCCCCTTCCCCGCCCTGTTGTGGCTGGGCTGCTGCCTCTGCCTCCCCCGAGAGCCGCCCCAGCTGCCTGCCGTGGCCTCTTCGGGGGGGGGGCGGGGGTCCTCCCGCGTGGCTGCCTCTGCCTCTGCCTCTGGGGAGGCTTCCGGCCCAGGCTGCCCTGCAGGAATCCCTCTTCTCTTCTTCCCCTGCAGGAGCTCTTCCAGCTCTCGGTGAGCGTCTCCCCTCCGCCCCTCGGCGGCTGTGCCTGCCCTCCGGCCAGCCATCGAGCGCCTCCCTTCACCTGCCCCTTCCTTGACCAGGCCAGCTACGAAATCGGGATCGTGCGCCAGTTCCCCTTCTCCTCCGCCCTTCAGCGGATGTGCGTGGTGGCCCGGATCCTGGGGGAGAAGAAGATGGACGCCTTCGTGAAAGGGGCCCCGGAAGTGGTGGCCGGGCTGTGCAAGCCAGCCACTGGTAAGGGCCCCACCCCCTCCCGGGCTCCATCTCCTCTGCCCCCCCCGCCAGCGTGGAGGGTGGCCGGGGGTCCCGCTGGCCTGACCCTCAGCCGCCAGCCTCTCTCCCTCCCCCAGTGCCGGCGGACTTTGAGCGGGTGTTGGAGGACTACACCTGGCAGGGCTTCCGGGTGATCGCTCTGGCTCACAGGAAGCTGGAGTCCAAGCTCTCCTGGCACAAGGTGCAGAACGTGGCCCGGTGAGTTGAGGGGGGGCTACTCCAGGCACTCCGGGGACGCAGCCCCCAGGCCCAGGGGGAGCGGCTGCTGGACCCCCCGCGACTTCCTTGGGTCGCGCCCCACGTCCTGTCCAGGCGCAGGGACCCGTCTGAATGCTCTGCCTGGCCCCCGCCTGAAGCCGCCTTCTCTGCTCAGCAGGTCCAGGCTGGGACACCACACACACACACACGTACACACACGCACGAGCCCGAGCAGGCTCTCCTAGAAGCCGGCGCTCTTGGCAGCCTCGTGGCTGGCCCTCCTGGCCCTGATAGGCGCCCCCGGCCTTGCCTGGTCCGTGCGGGGGCTCTGTGGAGCGGGCTGTCCAGTGGGCCCTCCCTTCCGCCTGGCAGAGAGGGGCCTTTGCCAGACCCCTGCGAAGTGGGCGACCCTCCCTGCCCCCCCCCGAGGGCCAGCGGGGCCTGCCGGGGCCAGATCCAAATCCTGAGGCCCTGCAGTGGGGGGGGGCGGGGGGGGCTGGGACGGGCGCTGGTTTCCATGGTGCCGCCTCTCCCGCCCTAGAGACGCCATCGAGAGCAGCCTGGATTTCCTGGGGCTCATCATCATGCAGAATAAGCTCAAGCCGGAAACGCCGGCCGTGCTGGAGGACTTGCACAAGGCCAACGTCCGCACCGTCATGGTCACAGGTGCGCCAGGGGCCGCCTGCCTCGCCCTTCTCCCGCGCGTGGAGCGTTCCCCCGGCCCGGCTTTGCCCCCGAGGGAGGGCCCAGGCAGCGCCGGGGGAGCCGCCTGCTTTGGCTCGGGAGACCCTGGCCCAGCCTGCCCCCACCCCACCCCCGCGCGCTTGTGGCTGAGCTGATCCGGCCTCTCGGGCTGGGATGCGGAGAGAGCCGGAGGCCCCCGCGGCCCCCTTGCCAGGTTCAGGGGCTCCTCCCTGCAAGGAGGACTTGCTTCCGAGGGCCTGGGTCTCCCGCCAGGGCCTGGGTCTCCCGCCGAGGGCCTGGGTCTCCCGCCAGGGCCAAGCCTAGCCTTGCTTCCCACTCTCGCTTCCCACCTTTGCCCTCTCACAATCAGCCCTTCAGCCCAAGGTGGGGGGGGGGGGGGGGGGGGGGTTGGGGGTGAGAGAACGTGTGCATGCGTGTTTATGCACGTGCGTGTGCGTGTGTGTGTGTGGGAAGTGCTGCTGGAGTGAGAAGACTGCCGGGGAGCGGCTGAGCCCCGGCCAAGCCCTGCGTCCTTCACAGGCGATAACTTGCTGACCGCCATCTCCGTGGCCCGGGACTGTGGCATGATTCTACCTCAGGACAAGGTCATCGTGGCTGAAGCGCTGCCTCCCAAGGATGGGCACCCAGCCCGGATCAAGTGGCACCACGCCGATGCCCTCGAGAGGGCTCCCGAGGCCACACCCACCATCAACTCAGAGGTAAGCGGGGAGGCCCTTCCTGCCTCCCCAGGTTAAGTGCCCCCCACGCGCCCTCCAAGGGAGAGCCAGCAGGTGGGGAAAGCGCCCCCCCCTCAACTGGGGAGAAAACTGGCCCTGGGGGAAGGAAGCCTCCCTGAAGAAGGAAACCGTGGGACCTGAGTGACTGCGGGGGGGGGGGGGGCTCCAGAGGCCCCCGGGGCGGATTCCACATTTGGCCCCCACGAGCCTCTTATTCCCCCGGGGCCCCTGGAACCTCCTCCCTCTCTCCCGGGAGGGCCAGGCGGCTGATGGGTCCGCTTGGGGGACCCAGCCTGTGCGATTCCCCCCTGTGGATGGGGGGGGGAGGGGCTGGGGGGCTGCCCTAAGGTGGATGCCTGCCTGGGCCGGGAAGGTTTTCGTACTTCTTCCTTTTTTCTTTTGGTTTAAAGCTGGTTACTCCTTGGATGCCTCTTAATGAGGATTGGCTCAGCCCTCTTTACTTCCTTCTGGATTTAAATAATATTTTAATCTGTGCAGTTTTTAATGTTCTGATATTTTAACTTTTTACTTGTTTTATAAGTTGTAAGCTGCCCAGAATCACTGGATTCTGCGATTGGCGACATACAAACTTAATGAATAAAATAAAGAATTGGTCTCCCTTAGATAGGAAGCCCAATCCGTGCTCAATGTGCAGGGGATTCGTTTGGGGCCAGGTGTTTAATCTGAGCCAATGTTGAGCCAGCCTCCCCCCCCCCCCCCGCCTGCCGTCTTTGCCATCAGGTCCCGGTGGGCGTGGCAGTTTTGTTGACCTTCTACCTCAAACCTCTGCCCAGAGGCGCTGCTGCTTTTAGCAGCTGGGCTCAGCCGTGTTTACGGGAAGTGTAGAGGTCCTGCCCGAAGAATCCCGGGTGGCTCAATTGAAGCGGTGTGTGTGCGCGTGTGTGTGTGTGTGTGTGTGTGTGCGTGTGTGTGTGTGTGTGGCTTCTCTTCTGTTGCAGGATATTCCCATTAAACTCGCCCAGCAGAACTGCAAAGATTCCCACAAAACCAGGTTCCACTTTGCGATGAACGGGAAGTCCTTTGCTGTCATCCAGGAGCACTTCCAGGACCTGGTGCCCAAGGTCTGTGGGGGTCTCGCTCTGCCCCTGGGGCGGCGCCCCGCCCCACGAGAGCCTCGGTGGGGAGGGGCCGCCTTGCCCCCCACGCCTGCATCCTCCTCCACCCAGCAGAGCGTTTCCCCTCCGGCCTTTCCCCACCCTGAAAGAGCCAGAGCTAAGCCCGCACTTCCTTGGGCCTCCCGGAGGATTTCCCACAGGGGCCTGGGGGGGGGGGGGGGGGGTCTAGAAAGGCGTCCCCTGCCGCCCCCTGAGAACCACCGCAGGATGAAGGGGCGCAAAACGTTTCCCCACACTTGGAGGTTCATTGCCTGGAGGGAAAGAACAAGGATGCGTTGAACTCCCCCACCCCCCCACCCCGTTTCCAAACGCGCGCACACACGCACACACACACACACACACACACACACACACACACACACACACAGAGGTGCTGAGAGAACCAACTCTCCCCCCCCACCCACTTGCCTTCCAGCTTGTGCTGCACGGCACGGTCTTTGCCCGCATGGCCCCGGACCAAAAGACGCAGCTGGTGGAGGCCCTGCAGAATGTGGAGTAAGTACAGGATGGCAGCCCCCTCCTCCCCCAAGGACAGGCAGGACCTCTGGCCTGGGGGGAGGGGGGCTGGCGGGGGGGGGGGCGGGCGGCGGCGGGGGGTCCCGGGGGGGGGGAGTAAGGAGCAGGGAGGGGTTCCTGCTGCCGGCCTTTGAGCTTTGCTGCCCTGCCAGCTGCTCCCTGATCCCGGCGTGCAGCCCCTTGCAAGCACTTCCGGTCAAAGGGATTGGGTGGGGGTGGGGCCTGGGGCTGCCCCCAGCCTGCTTTGGCCCCCGGCTGCTGTGGGGGAGGGCAGGCCCTGGCTTCCCTCTGCCCTCCGGCCCCTCCGGGCTCACCTTTCCCCGGGGGGGGGGGGCGGGGGGCGGTTTGTGGGGGCCTTTGCTGGATGATTCTCCCGGGGAATCCCTGGAACCCCCCCCCCCCCCCGGCCGCTCACCCCCTCCCTGCTGTCTCTTGCAGCTACCACGTGGGGATGTGCGGGGATGGGGCCAACGACTGCGGCGTGAGTATCCCCCCTCCTCCCCCTCCCTCCAGCGGCTCAGCTGGGACCAAAGAGCCCCCCCTCGACGCCTCCTCTCCCCGGACAGGCTCTGAAGAGGGCCCATGGCGGCATTTCGCTCTCTGAGCTGGAGGCCTCCGTTGCCTCTCCCTTCACCTCCAGGGTGGCCAGCATCGCCTGCGTGCCCAACCTGATCAGGTAGGGGGGCCGGGCGCTGCCTAGCCGGAGGGCCCTCCTCCCTGGGGCCGGGTGCGGGGCGGCTGGCTGTTCAGGGGCAGGGGGGGCCGTGCTGAGGTCTGCCGGGAGGAGAGAAAGGGCGGCCTCTGGCTGAGCCCCTCTGGGCACAGTGCCCGGGGGGGGTCAGGCCGGAGCAGCTGGTCTCCTTCCCCGGGAGGGTTGGGGGTCCCCCGTTCCAGGGGGCCACGGAAGCACCCAGGCTGCCTCCCGCTTCGGCCTCCGCCTTGCCAGAGCCGGGACCATTCCACAGACAGGTCTGGCCGTTCGGAGTGGGACATGGGGCCTCCCTTGGGGCCCAGGTGCCTGCGGGCAAACAGCGGGGGGTTCTCCCCAGCCACACAAGTCCCCCCCCCCCCCCGGGGAAAAGGGGGGGGGGGGGGGGGGCTTGTGTTGTCTCCATGGCTGCCGCTTTGCCCCCGCAGGGAAGGCCGGGCTGCCCTAATGACGTCCTTCTGCGTCTTCAAATTCATGGCTCTCTACAGCATCATCCAGTACTTGAGCGTGACTCTGCTGTACTCCGTGAGTCCCTCCTGGGGGAGGCCTTCCTGGCAGGGGGGGCTTCAGGGGCGGGGATGTGGGGGCAGTCCAGGGGCCCCGAGTCTGCAGCCAGGCAGGTTGAGGGAGAGCCAGAGAGGAACTTCGGGCCTGGGCTGCAGCAAATAGGAACCCAGAGAGCGAAGCCGCTTTGCAGGGAGCAGAAAGCTGGGCGGATCCTGTTCCGTGAAGATGGGAATCGGGGGGGGGGGGGGGGGGGGGGGGGGGGGGGGGGGGGGGGG